GCATAAACAAAACTATCTATGAAGTAGTTAGCACTTTGATGTTAATTTCTTGTTCTAATTATGGGTCTTTTACTTATATTTTTATGCTATACGCAAGCAGGGGTATGGCCTGTTGCCTTTCTAAAAATTGCTTCTTTTGGGGAATTGCCAAAGAATGATTTGGATACCTGGCTGGTCATAATAAAACCAGTGGGCACACATAGCATGTGTTGCATGTTTAAGAGCCAATGTGATGTGCTTGGTGTGATGTCAGTGTAAAATAATGGAAATAAATGAAGTCTAACCATATATTACAAGTGGATGATGTCCTTGTATATCAATTGTTTTTCTACACATCCTTAATAAGGCATTCCCTTTTTTTTTGTGATAAATATTAGATGAGGACTTATCCACTTAAAAAAGAAACAAATAAGATAAAGTACTGCACAAGGCATTCCTTAAACACTTGCTATCTCAAAGAAAAAATCTGCTCAGAATTTCAAAAAAAATAAAATATGCTGCCAATGTAAATGGGACGAGATGGTTACAATTAAGGTCATATTGAGCTCCCTGCTGAAAAGTGTTTCTTTACTTACAAATTATACTCCAAGCTTGTCACTTGTCGTTTTCTTTTTTCCCAAATGAGGAACTCCATTCATTATGCCAGTTCGTCTGAATTTATTATGCTCCAAAAAGACCACAAGAGTCAAAAAATTTCCATGGGTTTGCTGAAAAGCTACTGAGTAGAAGCAGAACTAGACAAGCAAAGCATCACAACTGCTAGGAAAAGCAATGGAAAATGGAACCATGTTCTCTCAAATATTTCAAATGTGAAGACCATATTGGTTATGCTATACAGTGTGCTTCGTATAGAGCAACGAAATATCTATTTCCTTTTCTTCTTGTAATTATTACTCATATTTAAGATCCCTACATCAGCAGCAGCATATGTTTAATGTGCATCAATCAAGTAATCTGAAGCAGATCTGGAGAACCATTCCCATATGCATCTTTTGGACTAATGGATGGAAAGAAAAAAGGCTTGCTTTGAAGGAAAAAAGATGCATGTTTCTAGAATTAAGAACTCTTGTTTGCTTAGTTTATATTTCTGGTGTTATAGGCGTAGGGTATATAGCCTAGATCAGTACATGGATTTCCTTAGCTTGCTAGAGGGGGTCTGATGCGGTGATGTTTTCTTATGCAGTTAGTTTTTGTACTTCCCTGTACCATCTTGATACTTTTTCAAAATAACATTTGACCTCGTGAAAAAATAAAAGTTACCAGGAGATAGAACTGAATAACATTAAAAATGGATGGTCTGTGATGTCTCAGTGTCCTTCTATGATATGGGTGCCTTTTCTTCCTATTTATGCAAATTTGTAACAACTTTTGTCTGTCTTAACTTCCTTATCAGATTTTTTTTGTGCTCACAGGCTGTAATTTCCAAAATAAATTGTCTTTTCCACTTGCTTCCTGATGTTTGTAAATAACTAGCATTTATTTACATGCAGGATGCTGTTAAGGGCAGTAATGTTGCAAATAACACCTGTGATGTGTGGAACGAGTACCAAGACATGGGTGTTAGTGGTACTAAAGCAGTGGAAGAGTACAAGGTTTATACAGCTGGAGAGATTGTGGATTTGCTCAACTTTGTTGCTCCGAAAATGATGGCCCGTGGTAATGCTCATTTTTCATATGGGATAGCTGATGATTTGGATGATCCTAAGTATTCACACTACAAATATTGGTCAAATCCATTGGAGACAAAGTGAGTCCTCTCATATTGTTGCTTTTGTGTCTTATAATGTAGTTCTTACTTGAATCGTTTCAGATAAGATGAAAAGAGGTCTTTAACTGTATAGGTTGAAGTTCAAGAACCAAAACCAAATTTGCTTTTACAGTTAAGAGTCTTGACCATCCTACTTAAAAACACACAAAAATTCAGTAGCGATTTCCAATCTGAAGAAAGAACCAACACTTCTAGGCAGTAAAGCTCTATCATTTGCCTTCTTGCGTGGTAAAGAAAAATTAGTAGCTTCCACTTGGGCAAGAATTTCTTCCCCTTTCATACAGTTTTTTAAACAGGAAAAAGTTAGGATCACAAGCCCTTTTAGATACTTTTGTTTTCTTGTGGCTCATGGAAATTACCTGAACTGTTATTTAGATTCTCTTCTTTTGGGTTCTCTTTCCCTTTCCCCCTTTTTGGACTTCTCAGAAGGTTTAGTCAAACTTGAATGTCCATGACAGGGCTTTGCTAAAATTTGCAGCAGCTTCTTTAGTTAAAACTAGTCTTAGTTAATTTGCTCTTGTATTTTGTTTTGATCTGATTTGTTTCTGCAGGTTACCAAATGCTCCTGACATGGAGATCTATTCAATGTATGGAGTTGGCATTGAAACTGAAAGAGCATATGTTTACAAGCGGATACCTACAGCAGGATGCAATATTCCATTCCAGATTGATACTTCAGCTGATGATGGTGATGAAGGTAGCTGCTTGAAATCTGGTGTTTTCACGATAGATGGTGATGAGACTGTGCCTGCATTAAGCGCCGGATTCATGTGTGCAAAAGGATGGCGAGGAAGAACTAGATTTAATCCCTCTGGTATCAAAACTTATATAAGGGAGTATTTTCATGCCCCCCCTGCAAACCTTCTCGAGGGTCGTGGTACACAGAGTGGTGCACATGTTGATATAATGGGAAATTTCGCTTTGATAGAAGATATAATGAGAGTTGCTGCTGGTGGTACAAGTGAAAACTTGGGAGGTGATCAAGTTTACTCAGATATCTTCAAGTGGTCTGAGAAGATCAATTTACGTTTGTGATCGATCATCTACTCACCAGTTTCATTGTGTCAACAACATCTTATTTATAAACTTACATACCCTTTCCACTGGATGCCATTCAAAATCTTAAGAAATGAACAGGTATTTTTCCAGATATAGTGCAGGATTTATTGCTTCCGGTGGTGTAAATTGTAATATTAACGCAGCTCATCTCGCTATGCAATAACAAAGAATAATAGGTGTGTAGTAGGGATTGAGTTGATGTTGTATCATTTTGGCATTGTGAATTTGTTGTAAGTTAAGGACTTGGGATTGGTGATTGTTGATAATATTCAAATGATTGTGTAGTCAAAGATCAACCCGCGCTAATTCAAAACGCACCATCAAAGCTTATAATTTAGCTGTGTAAGTGGAAGTTCTCATGCTTAGATTGTGAGGATTTGATCTTTTGCCTTGAGATTCTTGGGAATTGATTCACCAAACAGGGAGCACGCAAGGTAAGGTGTTCTCATCGTGTCTGTTTCATTGGAGATTTGTCAATAATATTTTCTTTCTAAACTTGATACTAATAAAGATAAAAGACATTGTGATGAAAATAGTTTTTTAAAGGCCTTGATTCAAGTGGATAAAGCAAGGAGTTTAAACTTAGATATGTGCAACTTGTAATACTCTCACCTTCTTTAATGATATGATTTTTAGTCTTAATAAATTATAAAACGTCAAACATGTTTCAATGAAGATTGATGTGTATAACTAAAATAGACAAATATTTTATATGATTAACTTAAACAACTTTTTAAACACACAAAATTTCTAATGTTTTCAAGTTCAATTAAAATAAGTAAATAGTTTGAGTATTTAAATAAAATTTACCGAAAAGAGATTAAAACATACGAGAGATAAACAATAACTAATTTCGGGATTAATTTATCCATATTTAGATTGGAATAAAAATCACGGGATAACTTATGCTAAAATTAGTTAACCCAAAATTATGCAGTAGTATTATTTTTATCCCGTATTAAAAGTAGAATGATAATACTGAAATAACCAGACGCGAACCCAGGATTTGAAGACGATGGGGGTTCTACTAAAGGTGGATGCGGGTTAGTCAAAGCACTGACACTTCATCGGAAAATAATGTCAAACAAGTACAACATCGAAGGTATATATAAATATATATTAAACAAAAATATTACATAGTTCACTCTATTGTTGGATAGTCTTGACCCTCGGTGTACACTTTGAGGTTTCTAGTTCAAATCTCGCTTGAGGTTTTTAATAGGGAAAATTGTATGAAATAGCAAACTATTAATTCAAATTAAATATTATAGCCATAGTTTCTTTTATTTGTAATTCGCAGCAAACATTCCATGTTTTTTGTCATCCCATTTATATACAGAAATATACAAATAGATCCATTCGGTATACATATGTGTTGTATAAAAATTAATTGCAGAATCCATTTGTATACCAAAATATACAAATAGAGACCCATTTGTATACCGAAATATACAAATAGACCCATTTGTATACCGAAATATACAAATAGACCCATTTGGTATACATATGTGTTGTATATATGTAGTAATTTTGTTTATATACAATTACTGTGTTTTCGTTTGTATACCGAATTATACAAATACAAATTTTTATGTATATGTATACCGAAATATACAGATTAATAGCCATGGCAAACATAAAATTTGCTATGGAGCGCAATTATACAAACTATAGCTATAACATACAAATATGATTTTTATGTTTGCTAAACCTAAAATTTACTCTTTTCAATATGCCTTTTTTGAAAAAAAAGAAGACAAAAAAAAAACGCAACACCAGAATAGAACTCACGATACTCCGCTTGCGAAGAAGCGCAATGAACACGGTCAAATCAATGCACCAACTCAACTTATGTGTTTCAGGGTGCACATTTAATTATATGATCCTTATTTAGGTATATACATGTATATACACATAATTTATTTTTGAAGTAAGCGGGTGCACATGCGCCCACTCCCTCAAACATGAGTCCGCCTCTGAAAATAACTAATCTCCAAATAATTAATACCGAAATAACTTATTCCCTAGTCAAAGGATCAACGTGCGCTTAAAACTTTAAACGGTAACAAATACTTGGCTCCTTGGACGAGATTATTACGTATTTCGGGTCTTGGGTTGAGTCCGGGAACCCATATTATAAAACGGGCCATTGAGTCTCTCTTTGGTCTAAGTTGGGCTATCCGGTACCGGTAGACCCGCAAAGACTATTGTGTTCATCTTTCAATTTTTCTTCGACACAGAGAGCATCGTCGTCTCCGATCAATCCCCCTTTCTTGATCGCTACCTTCAATCTCTCTCTCTATATCTATCTATCTATTCGTAAGTTTCTTCATCCGTATTTGATCGTATATTTGTTGGATCATCTGTTTTGGATCGGCAAAATTGATGAAGTTTCTTATCTTGTGTCTGAGCTAGAATTTTTATTTGATTTATTACTGTTTTTCGTTTTCTTGCACAACTTTATTGATTGTCTTGTGGTGAATTCGTGCGGTTTGGGGAAGATTTCTTATGGGGTGTTTTGTGTTTTCTTGTACAGCTTCATTGTTTGTGCTTGGTACGCTACACTGATTATATCTTTAGTGTTTCTTGATTTTTGTTGTTGCTTATATGGGTTAATTCTACTTGATAACTGTAAGCTATATGTATTGTAATTACAGGAAAAAGAAACCCCCAATGTGGGTTAGTATAGAGACTTTGGGGTTAGGGTTTTTATATTGAATAGGGAAAGGTTGATTGTGTGGGTGGGGTGGGGTGGGGGGTTCAAGATTGCTCCAAGATTTTAGAACTACTGCCAGTCTTACCAGACCCTAACGGTTTTCTGTCGTTTCTACGTATCCAACTCTGGTGTTTTCCTTACTTTCAGGTGGTTAGCCTAGATTCTTGATCATATTTTGGCTGCAATTACTTGCTTTAGTAATTTTGGATTCTTCTAAAATCTAATGAGTTTACCTAGGCCAGGTACTAAGACTGATGGAAGGTTTTTACTTACTTGAGAACCCATTTACTAAGGCCTAGTTTCATGTCTCCATTTGTATTAGGAAGATATATGTGCTTAGGGAATATGTCAAAGTCATAGCGTTCTATTTGTATGAGACAATGTTAAAATCTAAGCTAGTGAAGTTTCCAATACTTCTAATGGTGGTTTAATGTTGATATTCCTTTGACTCTCCTCAGGGTTGATACATTATTGATGAGCCTAACAATTCAGTGAATTTATCAGGAAGAACATCTGATATAGAATCAAGAGCGTTGATTTGTAATTTGTTAATCGTCTATATTACGAACCAGAAGTCTTTTTGTTGTTCAGGTGTTGTTTTATGTATATTATGTTCCATTTTAAATTTTAGTGATGATTTTGTTTTGATCTCTCACTAAGAAGAATATTGTTGGGGGGTGGGGGTAGGGGGTTGAAGTCCTTAGTGTTGTAGGGTATTTGAACTTATCTAGTACGTACAATTGCTAACTTGCCTTAGTTGCCTAATTATTGTTTGTGAGATACATTTTCTCCTGAAAACAGACTCTTGCAGAAGCACAAGGTAAGGCTGTGTATGATAGATCCGATTCGATATGGCCCTTCTTTAGACCCACGGATAGAGCGGGAACTTAGTGCACCTGGCTGCCGTTTGTATCGTTCTTTTTCCGCGTTCTATTACATGTTTTCTACTCGAACTTGGTGTGTGGATAGATAGTATGTCATATCTGAGAAAGAATATGCTTCACTAGCATTTTCATCTCTTGGGCAAGGACTATATATTTATTGGAGTATTGTCCTCTGCAGTGTGTAGGCTGAAGCTGAGCTGAACTGTATCCTGCTTATATCTTTCGGGAACAATATGCAGCAAGCTGTTCAGTCAAGGTCCGTTGCCAATGGATTTGGCAGTCGGAAAGGTGAAAAAGAAATGGGGACAAGGTTGGAGGGTAGAATGCAGTCTACAAAAACGACTTCCAGCAAGTCGACTGCTGTAGGTGAGAGCTGCTTACTAATAATTGTCTAAATTGCATCATATGCTTAATTCTAACTGCCATATCTTTCAGGTAAAAGGGGATCATACGAAAGTCCTTCACATGATCGACTAGTTTATTTTAGTACATGTCTTCTTGGACATCAAGTGGAAGTACAAACAATGGATGGATCTGTGTTTTCAGGGATATTTCATGCAACAAATGCTGACAAAGATTTTGGTATGTCTGAAAAATTAAAATAGATTTCTAGATAATTTTATCTGGTATTTATGACTTTGAACAGTGCTCTGGCATGTATTGAGCTATTATGCATTTGACGCTTTATTCTATCGTTGATCGTTGCACAGGTATTGTTCTGAAACTGGCCCACTTGATAAAAGATGGTTCCCAGGAGAGTAAGAATACTCCTGAATCTCTGGTCAAACCTCCATCTAAGACTTTGATTATACCGGGTAAAGAGCTTGTGCAAGTTTTAGCAAAGGTTTGTGTGTTACTTCTATGATTTTTGCTTCCAATTATTTTATGTACTCTGTTATTCTAACTTTAATATAGTTCTTAAATGATCAACCAAACAATTGATGCTGTGATGTAAGATGGTAGCATTTCATGCAAGACTAAGCTATAGATCACTTTTGACAGATGCTAGAATCAGATTTTATGTCTTGTCTGTATGTTAGACAGTTAAAGCTATAATAATGAGACTATTGCTTTGGAATAGGGTGTGCCTGCAACTTTAGATGTCTTCAGAGCTGAATTGCTGCGGGAAAAACAGTTGGAACTGTTGACAGATTCCTGCATATCACAGTCCCGTCATGGTGAGGTAGAGCGGCAGTTGGAACGTTGGGTGCCTGATGATGATGCTCTTGAATGTCCCGAGTTGGATAACATATTTGACGGCCACTGGAACAGGTAACCCCCCCCCCCCCCACACACACACACACACTCCACCACCAAAAAAAGGAAGTGTGTGATTTATCTATACGTTATAAATATCCTGTAATTGGATAAACCGACTATTACAATGAAAAATTCAAAAAAAAAATCTGTTTTCAGTTACCATCTTTTTTTTGCTGTTTACCCATTCCTAATCACCCTTCAATGTGCTGAAAATGTTAAACTTCAAGTGAGATTGTGTTCGATTCTCTATAGGTAATCATACTCACATAAGCATTTTATTAGTTTGAGTCTCTCTCTCTCTCTACTTAGACAGCTGTTTACCCTCTTTGTTTTGGAAGTTGTTTGTGATCTTCTTGCATTCTTTAGAAGTTCTTTCTAACAGATATTTCGGAATGAAAGAAAGACAAAAGAAAGGTGAGAAGCTGAAAGAGGTTTCCTTTCCCCTCTGTTCTTGTGTGTTGTTTCCTGGCCATGTCTCTCCAGTCTACCATTCTCCCCGGTCATGGCCAAAAAATCCAACAGGAAAGTAAGATATTAGATATTCCGCTACTTCCCTTCTTTCTCACCCTTCACATCAATAAACATACATAAACCTAAGCATATATGAATTCAATGTTTTCTGGAGTAGGGAATTGAGTTGGAGTATGAATTCAATATTTGGCGCGGAAAAAATTTATTTTTTTAAAAACCTTTTCCAGAATCATTCGAATCCTCTTCTAATGCCTCTAAGTAGTTCGTCTCTCGGTGGAAATTGTTAATTCATGCTTATGTTTTGCTTTTCCTTTGAGCTGTCTATTACCGGGGGAGAAAGTGGTGCCTTTCCCGTGTTCAAAGGTCTTTTTTACTTCTTCATTGGAAGTTTACCGACAGTCAGATTTGAGTCGGTGTTCTTTTTCTGCTCAATAGTGGTGCCAGATAAATGCATAGAATGGTTGCTCAACAATTGCATTCTTCAATTATTAGTGATACATGCCTATAAGTTTTCTTTTTCCCACTGTTGTCTAATTTGTGCTGGTTGTGAATTATGTTTCTTTAGCATGGCTATGTGTTTCACCTCCTATATCACTGAATAAATATGTGCTTGCAGGGGATGGGATCAGTTTCAGGCCAATGAAACACTATTTGGAGTAAAAAGCACATTCAATGAGGAACTTTATACTACAAAGCTTGACAAAGGTCCTCAAATGAGGGAGTTGGAAAAAGAAGCTTTAAGAATAGCTAGGGAAATCGAGAGTGAGGAAACACGTGATCTTCATCTAGCAGAGGTAAGATTACATAGTTACCTTTTACTTGTGCAGCGTTCTTAAAAGTTATAGCTCAGTTGCTTAAAGCGATGAGCAATGAAAGCAAGGGGTCCTCTCATCACATAGGCGAAGCAAACCAATTTCAAAGAAGCGCAAGCTTCTGACAGTTAGTGATTCGATCAAGAAGTCGCTTCTTTAATTTAACTTGAAAAGATAACAGTAATAATAAAGTAGTGCTGTTTACTTTCCAGATACACTCCAGTGTTCGCTGTCTTTTTTTTATCGCAAGGCTAACAACTACTGTTCGTTGTTTTTCCAGATTTGCTTCTTTATTATTGTTTTCTTCTTTAAGATGACTCGTTTTTCCATTTGTCTATTCTTTTTTCTCTATTTCATTGACTATTTTCCATTTCTTGATTATAAGAACGAAATGCTACAGAATTTTTGCATCTTCTGTAAATTTTGCTTCTGACTACAAAGAAGCGTGCTTTACTCACTTCTTACTTAAAACCCCAGGAGTCTTTTCTACTTTTGAAAACACCAATTGTGTGAATCCTTTGTTTTCTTGCCATTCTCTAACAGTTCTTGTTCTTCTTTTTTATTTTAACATGGTCCGTGTCTTTGAATTTTATTTCACAGGAGAGAGGAATTCAACTTCATGGGAGCCTTGAAGTTGATGAAGAAACCAGATTTTCAGCAGTTGTTAGAGGGGTTGATGATAGTGGATATGGTGATTGTGAGGACATACTGTTGGATTCGCGTAATGATGAAACATTTCAATGTATCTCTAGTTCTTCTATGGGGAAGTCATTCACTGGTACGAGTGTTGGGGAAGTTGTTGACGGTGTGGAATTCTCATCAAGATCTTCCTCAGTGGTATGTGTATGTTCATTTAGGTTCATTGTGTCTTGCATAAATTATTCCTTTGTAGTATGAGAACTTAATCCTTTGAATCGATGTACTACTAGTTATGGTTTTACGTCTGTGCTTAATTTATTTTCAACTAGCCTAGGCATTTTATTTGGATATCCCTGATATAGGAAAAGTATTTTCTAACCAGTCAAATGTCTCATCTAGTTGGGAACTTTGTTGCAGAGTACTGCTATGAAAGTGCTGGCAAATACGAGAAGTCGAGCACTATCCATATCTTGTAGATACTAAGTCCTGCTAGCAAGAATTTTTCCCTAGCTTTTCATAGTTCCAATAAAGTGGATTGAAGTGGCACTCAAAAAAATTTCCCTACCTTTTCATAGTTCCAGTAAAGTGGATTGAAGTGGCACTCAAGAATGTGACCTAGTGGTCAATGAAGTTGGAATCGACTGCCTGATTAACACAACAATCTGTCAACAAATATCAGGTGCTATGGAAGAAATTAGGCACCGGAATGAGGTGTGGTCATATGAGCTTTTGGGAAGCTAATTAGTTACAAGATTTGCTAGCACCATATCTGTACTAGGAGATACCATAGTGACTTGCTATAGGGTGGGTTCTCTGTGGACAATGTCACGTTAATTGTTTTTTGTCTTCATCATTCGATTCGTTCTATACTACAGTTAGGTGGAGGAACAGTAAGAGAGCAATTTCAATCTGTTCTCTAACTTGACATATTCGTCTTAAATCTTATTTAATCATGTGTTTCTTCCAAAATCTTCGACATCTTCAGTGGAGTTTTCATCTTTCTTCTGGAGTCTGCGATTCAAATCCCAGCCAAGGCAAAAAACTTTAAATGATTTCTTTTCATCATTCTATCATTATTGAGTTTCCCGTACTTCACAGTAGATTAGTTGAGGTGTGCACAATCTGACCTCATAAGCCATCACTATCAAAAATAAAATTAAAAAATCAAAATGGTGGTTTAAAGTGCCCGCGTTCATGTGATAGATCTATGCCTTTGGGTTTCTGTTTGTGTCTTAAGATTATATTACCGGTGTTAATCTTGCCATGTTATTGTCTGTAGGATGAATTGCAATCTTCTCAGTTGAGTACCAGCAGGGATGTCTATCAGACTTACTATGATGATCATAGCAAACAGTCATCAGCTGAACATGTTCCTCAAAGTGCCTCGAAGATGGATGAGAGCAGGTTGTTAACAGTGTTTCTGTCTGTCATTCTGACATTCCTTCTCTACTTAGTCTGAGAAGTCTACATTCTGGTATCATGTTTATTACTGTTAAAGAGAAATACAATAAATCCTTACCCCTTTAGCAGTCAAATTTTGTTGCTCCTAACCAAGTTGTCCTTTAGGGGGCACAAAATCACTTTCAGTGAACATGATGGAGCTAGTTGCAATGAAGAGGAGACAAGAATGCAAATGGTAGCGTAACTTATATACTTATTGCTGTCATTGAAATCTACAACTTTATTATTCCTTTTTTTCTTGCTTTGAAAAGCTCTCATGGTCTGTACTTGTTTCTTGTAGTTAGCTGAAGGGGCTCATACATCAATACCTGAAGGTGAGTTTGTCTTGAGGTGCTCAAGTAGTCAAATATCCATGCCCGCAACTTGTTAGAATAGGGTTTTGATAAATATTTCCCTTCTTGCTACATGCTGCTAGCTGACTTGTAGCCTATCATCTTCCCTCCCCTCAAAATAGCTCCCCCCGTGAATTGATATTTAAATAGGATGTCATACTAGAGGATAAAAGTTGTCTGCCTCAAGATTGTAGAGCATGTAACTTTGGTCTTTTGCCATCAGTAAAACAAAAAAAACTCTCTTTTTTCTTAACTACTGCCCACCAGCTAAAAAGAAGGAGTGGGTAGTGAAGGTCTAGGTATGCTTCATTAGTTCTTGATAGATTTTGTACATCTCTGAATTCTACTTAAACAAATTGTATACTGAGCAGTCAAAGTAATTGATTAATTTTGGTGGCATTACTTTTATGGATGTTCATGTGAATCAAGGATGCATGGGCTCCTTAAAGATATTCTTTTTTAATGGTAAATCTTAGACTTAACAGTCTCCCTTTCTTACTATAGTTCATCTCCTTTACAGTCATGCTTGTGTGATGATAGTTACTTCTAGGCTGTTGTACAGTATACTGATCCATAACAACTGGCGCGCTTCGTGCTGTGTCTGTTCTTTCTATCTTGTGTGTTTAAAAAACGTGTTTCTTTGTCTCGTTTTATTGGGAGTTAAAAGCAGTGTTATCAGATCTGCTCTTAAACCACGCTTAATCCCTGAGCGAGGCTCATAACTTGTTGAGCGCTTTGTCTCGCTTAATGTGCACTTTAGCTTCGTCATCAAGGCACTAAGGCATACTTTTCCTTTCCTATGTGCCTCTTCTGAAAAGGCGGCACTAAATTATTGATATTTCACTTTATCCTAATTTTTTATAATCAATTTCTTTGATCATATATTTGTCATGCATGCTTATAATTATTAGTCTTGGGCATATATATTTGTATTTTTCTCCCTTTGTGCCTTTTTTCATTAGAGTCCACGCTTTATTTGTGCTTAAAGCTACGTACCTTAGAGCTTTTTTGCGCTTTTTACTTTTAATAACATTGGTTATAAATTACCTTTCATGCATCTCTGTTGATTTTAAGGTTTTTACATGTAGATTCCAAGTCATCACTAAGAGTGAAAAAGGAAACCTTGGATAAGGGTGTGTCGTCTATGGATGTCTCTGCATTGTCTCCCCTTCCTGAATTTCAGGAAAAGATCACAGGTTCTTTTAGTGAAAAGGGGGCTGTCGGGTCTTCCAAGAGTCGAGACAATACCAGATCTGCTAATTCTTGTGTCAGACCTAGCAGTTCTGCTGTATCCTCTATTCATGGAGCAGGTGCTGTGTCTAGCAATGGATTATCACGTAGCTCTTCCGTGAGTTCATTTTCTTCCGAAAAATCCACGAAATCCACCTTAAATCCACATGCTAAGGTAAGAGTTCTTCTTTGATACCTTTTTCTATTCAGCAAACCATGACTGTCAGCAAGCAATCATGACTGTCAGTTATGCTTATGTTGAATTTTCTGTCAGGAATTTAAATTTAATCCCAGTGCGAAGAGCTTTGTCCCATCTCAAGCGACTTTGAGACCGGCATCTCCAGTGTCTGATAATTCCTTCTACTATCCAGCTGGGATGGCTGCTATGCCACAGATGCATGGCATGTCTATGGGTGTTGGGGTAATGATGCTTGTGGTTATTACTGCTTGGTGCTGTGTTTATGATGCTGCTGCTGCTTTTTGTTTATCTGGGTACTTTTGAGTCCATATGATCTGGTTAGGACAAGATATTTCATTTGATCGAGTTGGACCAATATAGAATCAAAGTACCAGTATGGGATGTAGGACTTGCAAATGATCACCTCTCTTACTTTTTTTCTTAAAAAAATGATTCGTAGGATGGTAACTTCTGTTGGCGGAATAACGGACACTGAATCTTTTGATTGTTTTTTCAAAATATTACTTATATATTTTCCATAGTGGTGTTAAAACAAATACTTTGTGGTCACTTCATCCTGTTATATTTTGTTGTTACCTCATCCTTTATTTGCTGAGGACGTGGACGAAGTTCGTGGGTTGCAACATGAGGACTTCCGTTCCGAGGGGATCATCCTTCCTAGTACTTTGCCCAAGCACACTTGACTTGGGAGTTCTATGGTTAGTCAACATAAAAGGGGTATAGAAAGAGATAAAAGTATCAGCCACCTGATTTTGCATGTACCCTTAATTGTGATTCTTTTCCAGTTTCCACTGGTGACTGTATCATGGCTGCAATTCTGTTGACTAGTGATGACTGTGATCCTCTTTAGACTAGATATTTGGAGTATTCTTCAGGAACATAGATACGAGATTGAATTGCAAGCTGTTCCCAAATTTGTTAGATAGCTGGTGAAGTTCATGAATTTTTGAATCTGTTTGTCTTGTGTGATTGGGCAAGCTGTTGCTTCTCTCTCATTGTGTCTTAACTTTTTCCTTTGGGCGTGGGGTGTTTCTGATGTTTACGTTGCTCACATAATTTTTGCAGGTTGGTCCATCGTTTGCTGGACATCAGTCTGTTGTATATAATCCACAGGGTACCCCTGCGCCACAGCCGTATTTTCATCCAAATGGACCTCAGGTTTGTCATTATCTTGGCAATATCCCTTTGTACGTGCTGATTGTTCTGCCTGTACTATTTGAGAGATTTGGTCAATGCACTAATCATTGTGCCTATTAAATTTAAGTGGATTGCATAATGCTTAAAATTTCTACCTTCGGTTGCAGTATGGACAGCAGATGATGATTGGTCACCCTCGGCAAGTTGTCTACATGCCAACTTATCCCCCTGTAAGAATCTGTTTTTGGCATTGTACCTTCTACTTTTTCAGTATTGCGCAGTTACAGTCTTCTGGCCATTTTAGTAGCTCTCATTGTGATAAAGTCAAGTTTTGGTACCTTGCTTGATAAGAATTGACGATTATTCATATTGGTCCTTGTCCAAAAACAGGTTATCAGTTATATGAATCCATAATATCCAAGTCACTCCATTTAAATTCGTCTCGATCCAATTTGATAAAACAAAATTAGTTCTTATAGCACTAGAAACTACTCTCTACTTTCTGACATGGGAGCATGACTAAAAGTTAGACCCAACTAATTGGTATCTCCTGTTGAGATCTTTTTTTCCAATCCATTTTTTTTTGCTAGGTCTGCTTAGATCTCAAGAGATTGTAGGTCTTGGGGGATGTCTTCCTTTCTTTCATGTGATTTGGGGTCTACCTCATTTCTTTTTTACTCATTCAGTTACCAATTTACCATGGTTTGAGGTTTTACACTTACCGACATCCGAAGGTTGATATAAGACATTCTTTTCAAGTAAAAGTTCTCATTAATAATAACTAGGCCAAACTTGGCCATAGACGAGAGATATACCAAAAAGGGGGAAACCTACAAAACATGGTTTTCTCCAAAACACACCCAATCCTCTATACAAACAGGAACTACAATGGGTGTGTTACAACCTGTTTTTAACCAAGTAAAAAGTGCTTCAGAATTTGGCTATTTATTTTGCAAAAATAGAAGAGCTGTCACATAATTTCTAATGGAAATAGGAAACTAGTCACTGCCACCAAGCCGAGAATAATGCAACCACTTTATCTCGACTACCTTTGCAATATTAAGGTGATATAAGTTAATTTAATGCCAACAAAAAAAAATATTTATAACATTACCAGTTTCAAAAAAATAAAAATAAAAAATAATTATTTATAATCATTCAAGTTATTGTAGATACATTTGGAGAAATGAACACTGTCAAAGTAGAGTTGTCATAATGTAGTAGAATTATGTTTTTTAATATGATGTTACATGGATTATTCATATCTTTAAATGTCGACATCACTTGCAAAAAGATCTTGTGTAAGCTGCTGATCACACTCGACTGGCAATATTACATGTGCTTAGTTGAGCATGTCCCAATGTTTTCTGTATTTTCAAGGATACATCATCCTATTGGTTAGCTTCACATTGGCGATCAACCTACCACAACTTTTCTCTTTTATCAAGAGTCAGGACTATGCAATCTAAGCAAAGCTTCACACAAGCCATGTGATGGGACCTTCTTCCCATTTATCTGATGAATTTTCTGTTTATAAGGAGAAGAACATATGATAATAGAATTACAAACTATTAGCTTTAGCTTTCTTTCTTTATCTATCTTGATTGATGCCAACAGGAATCACCGTACAATGGAAGAGGAGAGTATTGACCAGTTCTTGGTGACCTGCATCACTTGGTGGCTTAACCCTTTGCTGATACTGGAAACAAATTTCTGGCAGTAGATTGCATGGATCATTTATTGGTGCATAAAGTCTTCTGATAAAATAACTGCAATCTGCACCTGCTGGCTGAAATGGTTCTGTTAGCATTCCTGTATAATGAAGAATTAATTATTCTGCTTTTCGTAATCGTAGTGTTTTTGTTTTTTGTAAGCTCTTAGATGTTCTTTGTCATACTGGAGATTATTTCTCATCTTTCGGGTTTGTTCAACTTTTTTTTTTCCTTGGACAATATTTAACCAGTCTGCCCTATATTGTCTTATTTCATGATAGTTTTGGTGTGTAAAATTCATTTCCGTTCATCTTTTTGCTCTTGATAGTGTTTGCGGTGCAAAATGATTGTTCTATGGACAAATTTTGCAGTTGTTAAGTCTGATTTTAGTATTGACGTCACTTCCTCGTTTCTCCGGCAATTTAACTGTGATCCATGTCTTTGCATATTCATGGCATTGTTGAAGAATAGCAGGTGGTTATATGGCATTGATACTCCTCTGGTAAGAGGCTCTATAATCCTTTAAATTTTTAAGGCAAAATTCATCAAAGACCACTAGATATATAGGGAGGTTGTGGATTAGATGGAAGGTTAGTAAGGTGGTTGAGCATTCTTTTGTTTTTCGACGGGATTAGGCATGGTGATAGTTTGCAGCACCGTGTTTGTCATAGTAGTAGCCGTATTCATGTAATTTCTTGCTTTTGTCATCTGTTGTAGTGTTCGTTTGTTGGTGATTGCACTACTTTTTTGATGTTAATGTTCCTTGACTTGCATCTTAGGCTACTTTGAACTTTGAGCATACTTCCATGTGAAAATTTCTACTTTATTAGAGCCAATCATACTCACCGTCGGAGTTGACAACCATAAAATGAAGAATTTCACATCCATTTGTTTCGTGAAATGTGGATAGACCAAAAGTGGAAATTTATAGTACAGTGATTTTAATAAAAGGCTAGGCTCGATTGGCTTGCGAAGAGAGTCATTTTTTGTGTTACATCTTTGAATTTGAGAGAGGGCTTTCCTCTTATATAGATCTGAAAGGATTCGTCCATAGGCGTGATTAAATATTGTTTGTCCATAGTTTAAATAAAAATAAAATAGGTATTTTGTAACAATATAGACATGTTAGTGAAATGCCTAAAAGAATCAAATTGAAACCCAAACTTGATTAAAGCTTACAAATAATATAACAATCATAACATAAGTCTTATTTCATCTTCTTGAAATAAACGAGGACAAAAACTCAATTATATCTTTAATGTATTCGATATATAGTAATTGTATTCTTCGTTTCAAACCGTATGGTCAAATAATAAAAGGAATATACCAATATTATTTTGTACGCGAATTATCTATGTGGAGTTTAATTATTTATGTACTATTAACTATTCCATTTTTTATCATAGATTATACCATAGGTAAAATATATAAATTAATTATGCCAGTTTTTAAATAGCAAATCAAACAAAATGTTAAACTTACCTGGACAAACCACCAACAAATTTAATACCCGCATAACTAATCTCGGAACAATCTCTCATGTTAGAGGAAGAGAGTCCTTTATACACATCACATAAAATGACAAAAGAAGTTGTTGATGTAATATTAATCTAGTCAAAAAGAAATACACCTCTTCAAGTTTCTCTCCTTTTTTTGGCTTTTGTCTTTTTCTGCAGTGCCATTTTTCTTGCTCAAGTAAGGAGGAAACCAAAACAATAAACCTCTTCTGTGTCGTTTTCGCAGCCAAAGTTTTGTTGTTCTGTATACAGAGAGACTGGACTGGGACTTGGACTTCTTAAAGAAGCAAAATAATCAGAGGTGTTTGAATTCTGGGTTTGGTTCAACCACAAACTCTGTTCAATTTTCACAAAATCAACAAGGTTTGTTTACTATTTGTTGCATGCAAAAATGGGTTTTTTATCTTTAACAACTGCTTTGTTTTTGTTGATTCTTTAGGGATATACTAGTATACTACTCTGTTTGTTACCTCGGTTGCATTTTTCATTTCTTTTGAGTTTCAAAAAAGTGCATTTGCTTTAGTATCTCTATTCATTGTTGTGAGATTTACCATTTTTTAACAAGTAAAATTAGCTTCTGTTTGGCCTTAGATTTTGAAGTTAGAAATTTCAAAATTGAGTTTTGATGTTGTGATTTTTGGAATCTGAAGTTGTGTTTGGACATGCATTTTACTTTTTGAAGTTTTGTGAGTGCACGAGTCAAAAACCCAACAATAAGTTCAAGCCCCTTTTTGGGAACTTGAAATATTTGAAGACTTCCAACATTTGATCAATTTTTTTGGCCAAATAGATATTTGAAGATAAAGTACATGTTTCATCTTAGAGTCATAAGCAGTGGAGGAGCCCGAATTTTCACTGAAGGCGAGTCAAAAAATATGAAGTACACACAAAGAAGCCAAGTTTATTCAATATGTAGTATATATAGATTTAAAAAGTTACCTAGCTATACAGTGTAGAAGTGTATTATGTCTAAGTCTGAGGATTGTAAAGTTATGACTTAAGTATGTTGTATTACCTATGGTCAGAAAATGTTTCTTCCGAAAGGATTCTGAGCTGAGTTAGTATCTTAACCCCATTTTGTTAGTGTTAATGATCATCACTCAATTCTGTAGATTTACAGATGCAACAAATGTCGACATTTCCTGGTCCTCAAAATTCCAAGGAATTGAATTATCATATTCAAGATCAGGATTCCTCGTCTACTCAATCAACGAGTCAATCATGTCCTGAAGCTGCTAATGAAGGAGAAAGAAAAAGCCACGGGAAAAGCAGTATGCCTTTGCAAGCAGGTGAGAATATTCACTTTTGTTCTGCATCTTTTGAGATTCATAAATAGAACACTTTTAAGTTATGTCAGAGAATTTTTGAAACAAAGTAAGCATGTTTGCGATTAGCTTGTTTATAACTGTTTTCTCTATATCAATTAGGAGAAGCTAATTGATAGGAGTGTAGAAGAGAAATTTGCAAATTGATTGTTTAGTAGGTTGATCTAATTAAGTACTTCCATGTTGTTCCTCCAAATCTGATCGGTCACAGCCTTTTAATGTGGTGGATTGTATGTTCTTATTAGCCTGCTAAGGAGGCACCACAGAAATAAACTTGAAATGTCGATACAAGGCCTGTACTACAGATTGCTTCACTTGTTTTTTGAGTTAGAATAGAGAGCTCATTTCTTGAAAGTAGGTTATAATTCTATTGCTAGACAGTGATGATTGAACAGACTGGAGAAAGTTATCTCTTTCAAGCTTTATTGCTTTGGGGCGTAATACCCGTACACCCCCACTTAAGCATCGAAAGATATACGCAAACTAAATGTTGTGTCATGCTGCCCCTTCATTTCTCGTTCCTTTAGAAGGGCAGACATTCTTAATATCTAAATCATCTAGCTATTTCATGACCCACATGATATGTAAGGTTGATTATGTTGTATTTCGTATTTGGCTTACTAGCTGTTAGTGAGTTTGGTTATTTTAAACAGCCACAGCTCTCCTTTTCCCTCAATTTTCACTTATTTCTTTTCTGACTTCTGCATTTTCTTAATCTGATCCTGTGGATATCTGCTTGGACCACACCAGGCAGTGTTAGAAGTAGTGGGAAGTCCGATGATTCCCAAAGTGTGTCAAGTCAAGAGCATGGTTGGACTTTCGATATGTATCAGAAAAATTTTGTGAGTTCATTAAGTTAGTTTTTCCCTACTCTTTTTATACACAATCTACAACAAAATAACAACATACCCGGTGTAATCCCACAAGTGGGGATATGCAATCTCTAGTAAATTATTTATGTATTTATTGGTCTTTATTAGGCTGTTGTTCCTTTTCCTCATCCGGATCCTTACTATCACGGTCTAGTTGCTGCCTATGGAAATCAAGCCATGGTGAGTACAATTAAAGCTCAATTATTTTTGTATTGATGATGTGCACTGCTTATTTGGTTGTGTAAGACACTCAGAGAAAGAGAACTGAACTTTTTCCATTTGATTGTTTTATCACATTCTCTTCTTTATGATGATCAGCAATTCTTTTGAGTAATTCTAGCACAACCGGCTCTAAAAGAGCCATTATGTCATCAATATTTTCACTAGAATTTCAATTAAAATTTTTGGTTATGTCATCTAAGAAAAACCTCCCTTTTAAATCTGTCTGGCTGATTCCTAATTTTACATTGAAACCCCCCCCCAACCTTTTTTTTTTTTACTAGTTCCATTTGTTCTTCATTAACATATGCAACAAACATATGAAACCTCTTGTGGACATTTTCTTGTTTCCAGTGATCTCGACTATCTTAGGGTGAGTAAATCATTCAGTCCATTGAATATGAACAAGTTATACTATAGCTTTTAGCGAGGCACTTGTATTTGAAAAACCACCCAACTAGTGAATAACCAGTGTGCTCCAAATAATCACTCAAAAGTGAAGAACTTGTTTTCAACTCTTCTTCTCCTTTTTCTTTTTTTGTTCCGTAGGAAAGAGAACTTTTTTTGGGTGGGGTGGGGGGAAGGATAGTGTTATATGGTTCTCAGTATGATATCTAGGTCATGATCCACCTGCAACACCCCCTCCCCCCTACCCCTCCAACCAATTTGTAATATTTGATATGTACTATTAGAATAAATGAAAACCACCTAAAACTACTAATCAGTGTTGGATTGATTCAATCTGGTATCAGCACTTTTTAACTTTTTCTTCAAAGAAATTAGAGATGCGCTAAACTTGTGTTGGCTTTGCATTTCTGTGAAGGATCATAAGTAAATTCTAGAAAAGGTCTATGCCATTTTAGAGGTTCTTTGGATTATCCTAATCACTTTGCATCTGCTTTACTTTGATGATTCCTTGCTTTTTTTGGCCAACTTATTCTTTGGAGAAGGAAAGTCCACTCATATGTTCAAGTGAATTTAAATATTATAACACCAAACATGAGATCCTTCATACAGACTTGTTCGATTAGATATTTGGCATTCGCTACATTAAATATCAAAGGCATCTCCAATTAGTGGTATAAGTATATGGTCCCCATCCCTCAGTTTCTCTCTTATATAGATACCTATTGTTATCTTTTATGTCAAGCTGCCCATGATTAACCAAGTCTTTTGTTACACTTGTATTTGTTTAAGCCAGTGTGATCTGCCGATGCCCCCTGTTGGATCCTTACCATTTAGTTTTCTTCAGGTTCAATCCCAAATGTTAGGCATGGTTTCTCCTCGCGTGCCACTTCCGCTTGACCTTAAGCAAGATGAGCCTATATTTGTCAATGCTAAACAATATCAGGCTATCCTCAGGCGTAGACAGTACCGTGCTAGGCTGGAGGCTCAAAACAAACTCTCTAAAGGACGGAAGGTAAGTGTTTGATAATGGTTCAGCTTCACCCTTCTTGTTGCTTAGTATTTAGGCACTCACTCGTACGGGTATACATGTGTTTATGTGCTTTCAGTGCAAATCCAGGATTTACACCTAATGCGTATGGCTTTTATGTTCTCACCACTAAATCCATTGTATTTTTGCAATTATGGGTTTGGATATTTTTTGAATCTTTAATGATTTTTCATATAAAGAAGCTGGGTTCATTTGAACCTACTATCATGCTAAAACAACCCACTGATTACCCTTAACGCGGTGTAATATTGTCTGCTTTGGGCCAAGCTTGCATGGTTTTCCCTAGAAGGTCTCGCACTATTAAGTGCATCCAACACCGTATAAGTAGTTTGTTCTTTTCTACATTTCATGTTGGGCTATGTTCACACACAGCTAACACCTGCTAAATCTAGATTGCATCCGCCTTTATGTGCTTTAGTCCTCTTATTTTTCTTTGACAACACATTTCAGCCATATCTCCATGAGTCCCGGCATCTTCATGCATTGAATAGGGCTAGGGGACCCGGTGGGCGCTTTGTCAATATGAAGAAGACTCGAGAGTCCAAATCCCCTGATTTGATCAATGGTCAAGACAATCAGGTATCTGATGAGCTGCAACTCGACACAAAAATGTTGGAGCCCAATGTTCATCAATCCAGAAGCTACTCCACACCAGTATACTCTGGAATCACTAGTGGCTCGAACGGTGATGCTATTTACCATCACCAATCATTTAAGTACTCCGCCTTCTCAGCGCGTAACAGAGGGACCTCACAGCTGGACAAAGAGAAGAAAGATAACACGAGCAATCCATGTTTTTGATGCAAGTGTTGCTATTAAAAGTGGGAAGTCATCCTTGGCTATGTTAGTATTGTAGTACATTATTCTGAAAACTTAATAGTTAGTCCATAACCCAGCATGGTTGTTTTCTATTTAATGTTTTAAATACCTCAATTTTTTAGTTTATTGTGGCTGGTTTATGTTTTCTTCGCAACTTTTTATCGAATAATTGGTGGTTTTTTTCCTTTTTTTTTTGTTTTCTCATCTAGTGTCCGCTATCATATTGGAACTCGACTAAATCCTGATTTGCATCGGAAAGTCGTAAAGTTTTGTTATTCGTTTCTATTTCTTACTCTCTTTTTTTTCGGTTATTCATGTTAACCTAACACTATATATATGTCCATAGAATCAGAATTAACAATAATAAATTATGAAAAACTCAACTAGTCCAAAATTTAATAATCATCATAAATTGAGCATATCTAATATAATCTATTACTCAAAAGCGATTAAAATGTAAATAAAGTAATACAATAAAGACATAAATATGCCGAACATTAGTTAGTTAATTATGTTCTTGCTTTCTCAGTTCTATTAGGATATATATTTAAGTTAGATTGACAATTTTCGAAAAAAATTCACTATTAGAAAAATTATTCTTTGTACTCAAATATTTTGTTACAAATTATTAATTATGTTGACTATATATATATCATGCATAAAAAAAATAAAATATCCCGTTGATATATTTGGGAGAAAATAGAATAATTAGTATAGTAGTATCAGAATTGGTAATCTTATTATCAAATTCTCTCAGACTCAAAAACCTTGTACGAAGTCAAAATTGCTTTTGACTTTCTTCTTCTTCTCTCATATGATTTTTGCCGGTGCTGTTTGTAGCTGCAAAAGAGGTATTTTTTGAAAAAAAAGAGATGGAATTTGGAGCAAAAGGACAGAAGAAGCCAAAACCCATTGATGTGTTTAAGAATGTCAAGGGCAGATATACTGGTTTAATTAAAGCTCTCACAACAGGTTTTCTCCTGTGCTTTTTTTTTTTTTTTTGTTATCATGTTTAATTTTGCTTTATTTAATTGATTTTGTTTGTTTTTTGTATTCAGATGTGGAAGAACTTTATAAGCAGTGTGATCCTGGTAAGGATAATTCTTCTTTGTATTCTTTTTAAGTTATGGTCTCTGTTTGAATTTTGGGTTATCAGTGGAATAGGGTTGACATTTTTTTGTTTCTGTAATAATTTGTAGTATGTTATATGCATTACGTTAAATTCGGTATTTAAACTTGATGAGTTCAACTTTTAAAGTTATTAAGTGCTTTTAAAATTAAGGGTTCCTTAAATACTGGGTACAGTTGTATCCATAGTATATAAATTTTGGATTATCCATTAAGAAGATCAATTTCACTGTCCAATGATTGTGGTATGTAAACTCCATCCGCCTTTGTCTATATGTCTTTTCTTTAGATAGATATTGAAAGATTTTGGACAATATTGATTAACGAGTAAGAACATCAATTTCACTCAATAGTATGTAAACTCCATCCGCCTTTGGACTCTAGGTATATGTCTTTTTTCTAGTTATTTGAAGTTGAAAGATTTTGGACATATTGGAAGAGGCAGATCTAGGATTTCAAGAATCTAGGTACACTACTAAACAAAGGAGAAAAAATAATATATTAAGTTGGAATTGTTCCTTGTCTTTTTAGATAAATAACTCAACGTTCAACCAAGTGTTCATTCAATGCTTTTGGAGCATGGAAAGCAACATCTAATTCTAGAAAATACATTAAATACATAGTTTGGTAAGAGATTATGGGTTCATGCAGGGGCGGAGCTACATGGAACTTATGGGGTCCATCCGAACCCCCTTCATCGGATCGATTTATTGATTTACAAGTATATATTTAATAATGAACCCCCTCAGCATAAGCTAAAGGCTTGTTTCAGTGGTAAACTGGGTTCAAGATTCGGTCAAATCTACTCGGCTGCGAGAGTTCGAGTTCGGGTAGCATCAAATTTTTAATCACAGTTTAGCTTGCTGCTGCTACTTCCTATGTTTTATTGTTCTTGTTGACGTAGAATTGAATTTTATCTACTTACTAATATCCGACCTGATCCAATCCGTTTACATGGGGATACTATTAGCGTGCTTACTTATTTTTTTGAACCCTCAATGAAAATCCTGCCTCCACCACTGGGTTCATGTGCACACTATTTCTAGAGTAGAGCCACCCCTGAATATTGGATGATAGAGTAAGAACATCAATTTTACTCTCCAATGATCGTTACATTGCTTTTAACATCATTCCATCAGTGATCTTTTGTTCCTGTATCTGAATTTTTATATATGGGAAGATGAAATTCAAAACATTTTAGTCATTGTTACCCAGAACATAGAATTTCTATTCCGTTATGATAAGGTAGATCTGGATATGAATGTTCTCATATCCACATGCATTATAGGGAATTCTTTACCCCTCCTTGAAGCAGAAGAAGAATCAAGTTACATTGTGTGTAGCTTAAAGTAACAATTCTAATTCTAATCCCTTGCTTTTGATTTGATAATGCTTTCCTCGTTACAGCGGTGAAAAATAAGTATACACAGGATACTAAGCCTTACAGCTGTAATTAGTGGTAGATATCGAATGAAGACGTTGTACGTCATGTTTTTGGAAGTGATATTTAGGGTGGCTGATCAGAGTAATGTCATTGATTGCTGGACCTTCTTTTTATTCTATATCACGGATACTCTATGTTGCTTGGACTCTTCAAAAATGTTGATGAGTGCGTATCAGATCCTCCAAAAGTAGTGTATTTTGGAGGATCCGACACGGGTGTGGCAGAATTTTTGGAGAATCCAAGCAACATCTACTATAAGCTCCCTCCTCACCGCACCTCCCTGTCCTCCTCCAAGTTTTGTTACAGTCAATATGTTTAATCTGTCTTATCTCAAATTGCTTATAACACGGTACTCCTATTTCTTCTTGTTCATGCTCAAACATATCAACTGTTTTTTATGCAGAAAAGGAGAACTTAAGCTTGTATGGACTCCCAAATGAGCAATGGGAGGTCAATCTACCTGCTGAAGATTCACCACCAAGCCTTCCAGAGCCTGTTCTTGGTATCAACTTTGCTAGAGAGGGGATGGAACAAAAGGAGTGGCTTTCTTTTGTTGCCTATCACAGTGATTCTTGGTTGCTTGCTATTGCCTTCTACGCTGGTGCTAGATTTGGATTTGGCAAAGCCGAGAGGTACTTCTTCTCACTTGATTTCTTCTATGCAGCCAAAACATCTCCATGCTCGTAAAATTATCTTTGAGAGCATGTCCTGATGATTGACAATATACGTTTAGCGATTCTGCCTGCTCCAGTACCTCATTTGACGTTTTTTTTGTGTTGATTCTGCTTCTCAATGCATTAAAGTTTTTTTCTCACTGCTCTCTGTTAAAAGCAGAAGTAATGCATCTGATTAATGTGTTTTAGGTTGGTTATATAGATTACACTAATACTTTTAGTATTGAGCTAACACTGCCCGTAACTATTACTATCAAGAAAAGTTAAAAGCAGTAAGCTTGTTTAATTTCAGTTTATTGTATTTTGCACCTTTGGTGCACATTTTACTTTCTGGGAAAAATCATTAAAGTATTTTTGGTCCAAATATGAATATTTTACTTACTTAAAATGGAACTACTACCCTATGAAATGAATTTCATACCGAAATTCCTAATAGCACCTCTAGTACTTAAGCAGAAACAATGGAGGATGTTCAGGATATAGAAGTCGTTAATTAGCTTTATAAGTAATATATCCATTTTACTCCCTATAGAATGTTCATGTTTGAATGGAAACCTATTTTAGTCATTTTGTAAGAAGATGAAGAGGTTCGGAAGGAAAAGTGAAAGGAAGGACGGGATGCATAGTGCAAAATATGCATAAAAAGAGGTGTGAAAAATGCAAATAGCTTGTTGAGTATTACCTTGAATACTAGCTTGCACTTGTTAAAATGAGCTGATAGAAGCGCACTTGTAGGAGTGGCTGTTAACAGGTTAATTAGATTCAACTAGCTTGGTTTATTAAAAAGAACATTAACTTGGTTTATTTAGTAGGGCTTGCTCTCAAATGAACGTTGATCATTGACCTCTGGGCTGTGGTTTCTAGACGTTGTATGGTGAACGTAACTCATGCTTGTCAAGCTGATATTTGCAGTTATCTGAGTCGACCAACCAACATCAATATGGAATTGTGTGGTTCAACTTAAATTCATCTCTGCACTTTTGTGTTTGTTGTATGTGAAAACGTTCATATTGAATGGTGATTCTAATGGGAAGCCCTTGTTCTAGATTTTTTTTCGCATTGAACTTTGTGCATAGAGGATTAGTACATTCAGATATCTATTAAGCTACCAGAGATAGTCTTTTGCCTCAATTGTGACACAAGTCATTGTGCTTTAACACTTCATGATGTTTACTGTGTTGTTGCTCATTAGTTGCCTTCTCTTTTCCAGGAAGAAGCTCTTTGACATGATAAATGATTTACCTTCAATACATGAAGTAGTGATTGGTGTGCCAGAGACGCAACAAAAAGAAAAACCTACAGTCCCTAATCAAAGTAAAAACAAATCCAAGCCAAACGCCAGTAAGGTAAAGAAATTATGTTCCCAAAGTATGCTTTATTTGCATGTCAGCTCTGTGATACCTTTTTGTGTGTTGTTAAGACTAAAATGATGTGTTTGCAAGCATCTGAATATCAATCTTATGGTCATTTTTGGCAGATTTTGATTCAAATTCTGCTTTAAAGTTCTGATTTTCTGGTATCTAGACTAGTTGTTGCATGAATAGCTTGTCTTAAACTAGCTTAATTGTCCGTGATCTTTCGACTGTATTGTACCCTTCTACCACATAATGTTAACTTCTTTTTGAGCTATCGATGTTTCCTTTTCCACTTGATAAAACAGAGGGCATCGGAGCCTCAGGGTATGCTTACAAAGTTACAGCAAAAATATGAAGATGATGATGATGATGATGAAGAAGCAGGAGACGAAGAAGATAAAGAAGACGAGGAGGAATGGGGTATTGAGATGGATGTTGAAGAGGAGGAAGGTGAGACACTGTGCGGCGTATGTGAGGGGAAGTATGCAAAGGATGAATTTTGGATATGTTGCGATCATTGTGAAACATGGTTCCACGGCCAGTGTGTGAAGATCACCGCTGCCACAGCTGAGTACATTAAGCAATACAAGTGCCCGCCTTGCAGCAGCAAAAGATCCCGGACTCACTTTACAGAATACTGATCAACAAGAGTTCTCTTGCTGCTAAGTGCAGCTAACTGTTTTAGTTAGGCTATTCATGATGTTTAGCAAAAATGTCTGAAGTTCAGTCTCAGCCATATGAAACTTCAAATGTTTTATCTCAAGTTAGACTTTGTTAAGACTAACTTCAGTCGTTGCATGTCTGAAGTTGTCCCCAAGTAAGTAGATGTGCCAAAATTTTGGGACATAACTTAAACAGTGACACCAAAATCAGGTCTATGTGTACTCCTCTACCCTACCCCCACCCAATTTTAAAAGTATTTATTTTTTAAACCACTTAGCTCGCTATCATTAGCTGTATTTTTTTTTAAATTTTGATTGATTAGGACAAAGTTTTCGATAATCTTCGACTTTTTTAAAATATCCTGAATAGTTCCGGTAGGTAGGGTTGATGTTATTAAGAAATTAGTTGAATATAACAAGTGAAGCAATCAGGTTTTTTCCACTAAATGTTTTTTTTTTCTTAAAACAGAAGAAACGTGATTGCTGATATAATAGTTACATATAGACAAAAGTTCTATTAATATAAATTTATGTATAATGGTCGGCTACTTGTGTTGTTGTTAACCACTATCATTAGTCATCTGAATATTACACAATAAGATAATCTACTAAATCTAATCCCTTAATGTTGGATAATTACGTTGGCCCCACCACATTTTCCTGTCTCGTTAAACAATAACTATCCTCGTTTTCAAACAAGTTGCGTTAGTTGCATGAAGTGCGGAGAGAATAAGATATACACAAATCTTATCCCTATCTTTGCGGGCAAGAGAGACTATTTTCAATAGATCCTCGACTCAGAAAAACAGAAAGTAAGAGAGAAAAGGAGACGACAAAATAACAATACACATAACATATGTAGAGCAACGGATATTAGTACACATTGGAGGAAAAAACTATGTGATACCTAAATCATACTACTAGAGTACTAGGAGTAGGACAAACATTCACTAACCTTATACCATGATCCCTCGACCACCATGTCAGTTGAAATTGTGTCATATTTTGTTTTATCACTTTCCCTTTTCAACCTATCTCTATCTCTCCTAACTCTTACTGTTCCCAAATTGACAAATTTTATATAGGTTGTCAGCCTACAACAACCCTCCTCCTATATCCAAACTTAGTACCAACCTACCTATACCTCTCCTAACTCCAATTGCTCCCAAATTGACAAATTTTACATAGGTTGTCAGACAACAACAACCCTCATCCGACAATATGAACAACCTCAATCTGACTGAGTTCCCGTCACATTAAATCAAGATTAAATATGCTAAAACCTTTGTACACGCAACATGTTCAAATCAACATCATGATCAGGCAGAATCTTATCTTCCATTGGCTGAGATTAGCTAAAAGTCAATTAAGCCCACTACAGATTCTCATCTTACTATTTGATCAGTGCCTGAGAAGGATAGGTTCCTACTACTTGGCTCCATTCTTGAAAAAGTATAGTTCTTGAAGGAAGAAGAAGAAGTCTCACATCTGGAAGTAGACAAATTGCTCAGTACAACAACAGCAACATACCCCACTTTAGTTCCACAAGATGGGGTCTGGAAAGGGTAGAGTGTACCTACCTTACCCCTACCTCATAGAGATGGAGAGGCTGTTTCCAAAAGACCTACTCAAATAACACAAATAAAAAAACATACCGAAGATGAGAGATAAAACAAGTAGAGAAAGCATAGGATAGCATACAGGAAAGTGAAACAGTAACAACAGCCAAATAAATTTAGTGAATTGGACTATATATACAGATTCATTCTTTGTACATGAACAACTTACATTCATCATTCTTTTTGTTCTTGATCTAGGCATTGTTTATGTCTAAACTCAGCATACTGATTCCTAAAAAAAGGATCATTCAAAAAGAAAACTTATACATGGATCAAAGAGAGAAAAGTAAACCTAAGAAGAGCGATAACTGTCTATGGGGATCACTATGCCCAATTTTCTTGATTCTTCGTGGAGAGGCGTTTGAGGAATTCGTAAGTAGTGATCATTGTGGTTGCAGACATGGACATTGAAGCCCATCGAGGGCCTAATCCTCTGTAACAAGCCATCCACCCACCTTCCCTTACTAAATTCCTTACAGTCTGAGCTACTGTTGGCGCTCTCCGTCCATTCTCATCGCCATCCAGGACCTGCAATCTTGTCTTGATTGTGTCTAATGGTGTTGTAATCAGAGCTGAAACGCCTCCGGCCATGGCTGCACTCACTCCCTGAACCATCATAACAGTCTTCGAATCAGGCTTCAGAGTACTCTTGATGTTATCCTCAATTCTGTCATCACCATTCTTGCTGAAGTAACATCCATACCCACTCCAGACAAGCCGCTGAGTGATGGCGTAGGATGTCCACCACAGTGCATTGGATGGAGCATATGTCAAAATTGAAAACCCAAAACCTCTGTACAGTCCCTTAGGTCCATCTGTCTTGAGGATTCTTCGAAAAGCATCGATCCCATTGAGATATTTACACGATGCTGGAGCAGCGCAAACACGCTGCACCATGAGCCGCTGGCTCACCACATCCACCGGAGTCCAAACCAGTTGTGCGGCAACGGCTGCGCTCAGCCCAGCAGCAGCACTGGCTAACGCGGTCGCAGTAGGCTCAGGAATGCCGAGCCTAACCGTGGCCGTACCAACACTACTCTTGGTAACCTCAAGAGCAGTCATATAAAGTGCCCTAGCAGGAATTGTACCCATCAACGAAGTCCCAAACCCACGATACAATCCGCGAATTCCTTCAAGCCTAACAACGGAAAAGGCAGTTTTGAAACAGGAAAGATGAACTTGCGCTACCTGTTGACGAGTCTTCAACACCACAACAGGATAAAGCACAGCTGAAACACCTGAAAATAAGGCGGCGCCGAGGAAGAAAAACTTAGATTTGTCCAGCATTTGCCAGTCTACATCCGCCGGCAACTGGATTTCCTTAGCCGATTCCTCCTCCGCTACACTTAAACTCATTTTCCCCAGTTTTCCTGTCTCGGTCTCAATTTTCTCAATCCTTTTTTTTCCCTCCCGGAAATGTACAGTAACAATCAACGTCTATTCTACTAAATTGAAGCTAGATGACGAAGGTAAAGATTTTTTTCGCTGGCGAATCCATATTTTGGATCGGAAATGAGTAATAGCAAAAGGACCTAACATTTCTGTATCCGTATCATATGGGAAAGATTCATAATGGTCAACTATACAAATCAGAACGGCGTAAGGGATCGGAAAAACTCACCGGAAAATCTAGGATCTCGCCGGAGATATTCAATCGGAGCTTATCTTAAAACAGGTGAGCTGCTTCAGCTGCTGCTATTTCTTCTTCTTCTTCTTCGTATGAGCAATTTTATGTAGTACTATATATTTTTCAGGGAATTTAGAAAAAGTGGAGGAAGGAGCCACGTGTCAACTGTCAATTGGCAGAGTGGGTAGGGTTATATTCGTCCGAACAAGTTGAAGTTGTTCCAAAACGACGACATTCTGACGTGCCCAACCTTATCCTTTCATCAGTAAAACCGATACGCTGCGTGCACGTATTTTAGTCTTCCCTGTACCTGCATTTGCCCAATTGTTGGGTCGACTAGCCATCTAATTAGGCCCAATCACACTTTGCGGTCCCTTTATTAAATGATTTTTGGTAATACAAATTTATATTTTGGATCTTACTCCCTCCGTCCCATTTTATATGTCACCTTTTGGATTTCAAGATTCAAACAAGTCTATCTTTGATCGTAAATTTTTCATAGATCTTTTAAACATTTTGAATTATCAATTATTGTGACTCATAGTACTTTTTACATAGTTTACAAATATATAAGTTTCATTTCAAAAAAATTGAAGATTCCATGTGCAAATTTCTAGTCAAATTTAAACTGTTTGACTCTCAAAACATAAAAGGTGTCATATAAATTAGGACAGAGGGAGTACTATTTTTGAAAAAGAAAATAATTAAATAGATTCGATAGAGGATAAGATATACTTAGATTTTATTCATATCTCGTAAAGATATGAAGATTATTTTTAAAAGACCCCCGAATGAAGTGAAGTTGAATAAAATATTAATAAAAAGAAAAAATGTCAATAAAGAAAATATAACACTAATTATAGAAAAACAATATAAGGCATACAATAATTAGGAATAGTTATATTAACAAAATAGTGCAATGATCATCAAAACATAATAGACAATATATGCTAACAAATAACAAAAGTAAGAAATTATATGAATAAGGATATTACTTTGACAGATACGGTCCCTAGATTAGCATTAAGCCAAATCCGTTGAAAAGCAAGGTAACGTTCAATTACCTATTAATTTGTATCTTAATTTGTGATTTAATGTCCTCCTATTTAATGTCATATTTTCGATAAGTTGAAATTGTATCATATTTTGTTTAATCATATCTCCCCAATAATTTTTTGGTAGATCTCTACCTCTTCTCATACCCATTATTAGGGGTGTTCATGGTTTGGATAAAAACTGATTCAAACCGAAAAACCAAACCAAACCGATTTAATTTGGATTTTGGTTTGATTTGGTTTGGTTTTACATTGTTAAAAACTGGTAGTATTTGGTTTGGTTATGGTTTTGTTAGAAAAAAATTGAAGAAATAACCGAACCGAACTGAACCAACAAGTTATATACATAAATTTTATTATTATACATACATAATATATTATATTCATAAACAATTTTAAAGATTTTATATATGTTTCATCAAAATTTATTTATAATTTACTTATGAAAGAAAAAATGTCCAAGGTGAGAACATTTTTCTTATTGGTTTCATGTATATGAGTGTCTATGAAAATTCTTTGTGAGACTGAAAATGTCATTGTCTCTTCCTTCTATGCCAAAACAATGAATTTTGAAGTTTTATTCAGTAAATTCAATGATCGAAAGTTCTATAATGCCAGTCATTCTAACTATTTTTTTGTTTGAATGGATTGTTGTCACTTTTTTCACGTTTTGAATGAATTGTTTATTTTATTTTTATGTATGGTTAATAACCGAATCAAACCAAACCAAACCAAAATCGAAAACAACCAAACCGATAAATGTATATTATATTTGGTTTGGTTTGGTTTTGATAATTTTAAAACCGATTAAGTTGGTTTGGTTTTGGTTTTGACCAATAACCGACCCAAACCAAA